ATATATATATATATATATATATATATAAGCCCCTTTCAGGATATCTTTTTCCATAATAGTCTTGTTCGAATCACAATCCAAAACACTATTTAGAGTATATATATATATATATATATATATATATATATATAAGCCCCTTTCAGGATATCTTTTTCCATAATAGTCTTGTTCGAATCACAATCCAAAACACTATTTAGAGTATTATTTTCAAGCTTGTATCATCAGATTTGCATCTTTTATTTCGGAATTTCAAAATATCTAAATTTTACGCGAGAGCTAATTCGACGGCGATTCGACCGGAAATACACTTTAGATCTGCCAAAACATTGCGTTGTTTAAATCCTATCGCTCAGGAAACGTCGGAAATCGATTCTAAATTAAAGTTGACTTACACCTGCCGCGTCAATTGCACGTGCCTCGGGCTACGGGTGCTCCTTATTGGCCAATTTTAGCGTGTGGCCGGCGCGTGCGAGTAAAAACCGGTGGGGGCCCGGTATTTTGTAAAAATCGAAATAAATATATTTCTACTGGCCGTATTCAAACGAAATTTTCTACACGAAAGCGCTTGAATACAAGGAGTATTTCACTCAGATTGACTTGTGGGGAATTCCGAGGAGTTATTCAAGATTTTCTGAGATATTCAAGATTTTCTGGATACGAAATACAGAATATTTGGCAAAGCGGTGAGTAAAATACCCGATTGTTTTGGTTTGTGTAATGTTATAACGGCATTTGACATATCACGCCTGTCAAAAATGCATCCAAAAGCGCCAATTAGAAGTGTCTACTTATTACCAAGCGGAGAAATGTAAGACTGGTAACTAATTCTAATTTTGAAAATCGCGCTTTTTCTCTTGATGTTGTGCTTTGTAGGATGTGTAAGAATATATAGATATATACGAGTGTGAAAGAGGAGATTGTGTGGATTATTTTGATCCCAATTATTGCCATGGTTACTTTATTATTATTCTAGTTTGCTGGGTCTTCTTCCGGGCATCCGCGCTGGTTACGAAGTTTCAAAGGAAGTCGCTAAAATACACAAATTTCGGCTAGTTATATCTTTTTTGTTTATGCTCTGATTTTTTTCGTTATTGTGTGGTTTGAAAGATAAAGTTTCCATTTACAATCGTATGTTTTTGTTTTTTGATAATTGTTCAACGAAATTTTAAAAATGCCGTGAAAAAGTGCAACACAATACAAACGCTTCAATGCGGGAGTGTATGCGACAGCAAAGGTTAAGCTCAATAGCCATAGATAACAAGACGAAGCAGGGTAGAGCAACGGCTAAGAAGTTAAAAAGATTGGATAAATGGGTAAGTTGAGCCTTTTATTTTTTTTGGTAGATTATTTTGTACAAAATTTTAACAAATCGATGCCTCTAAGTATAGTCAAATCATAGTATTGATACATATTTTTTCAACATGATCGATCGGCTGCTAGGTTAATGTTTACTTAACCCATTGGACAGTGAGTCAAAGATCCCTTCGTTGAATGTATTTATTTATGTTTATTGTTTACTGTTTGAAGCACTTGTTACCCTCACACATGTCTGGCTTTCGCAAGGGGCACTCCACTACTACAGCACTAATCAACATTAGAGACGATATTATTAAAGCGATGAACAGAAGAGAAGTTACGATTATGGTCTTTGCCGATTTTAGTAAAGCATTCGATACAGTGCACTTTGATATCATAATAAGGAAATTGCACTTGATGGGCTTCTCTACGCAATTTCTTCGGTGGATGATGAGCTACCTAACAGAAAGACAACAGTACGTCCAAATTGATGATAAGAAATCAGGAAAATTGTATGCAAATTTTGGTGTCCCACAAGGTTCTATCTTGGGACCCGTCCTATTCAATTTGTATGTTGCCGACCTCGCAGATGAGCTAGGAACTGTGTGTAATTGCCATAAGTATGCCTACAACACCACGATCTATAACAGTGTAAAACCAAAAGATTTTCAACTGGGCGTAGAACAAATGAATAATTCCCTGACGAACCTAACACGTTGGTCCGATGAATCTAAACTTGCTTTGAACAACAACAAAACTAAAGCGATGTTGATCACAACTCCCCAAATAGTCCAGCGGATATGCACAGATATTTGAGAAAATCATGCACTTTGTGAAGAAAGCACCAAATTCGCAGGAAGTGTAGACTTTAACATGATAATGATTCTTAGATATGGAGGCATCACCAAAATTGATGCTGACGGCTTAAAATTTAGGAGTTCTTATATTCACTTATGAATCTCTTATACAATTAATTTAAAAATTGTGAAATTGCAGGTTCATATATAGCAAAAATGGCATGCGTCATTAGAAAGCTTACAGAAAACTGCATATAAGACATTTAAGCAGTTACTTTGATTTTTCAACTCCTCTGGAGTTATGAGCGGTTGAAAATATGTTTTAAGGCTAGTGTCCAGGACTTTGGCGGGATTTTTGCCTATTTATCACGTTTTTAAATAGCAATAACTGGAAAACCGCTTGGAAAATCAATCAGCCGTTTAAAAGTCTTATATCTAGTTTTTTGTAAGCTTTCTAATCATGAGAGTCATTTGTGCTATATGTGAACCTGCAATTTCACAATTTAAACAGTAATAGAGTTTAATAAGACAATATAAGAAATCCTAAATTTTAAGCTGTCAGCATCAATTTTGGTGATGCCTCCATATCTAAGACTCATTATCATGTTAAAGTCTACACTTCCTGTGAATTTTTTACTTTTCCGCTGCATTAAAATGGCAAATTACCATTCGCTACGGACAGAAGGCGTGATGAATATTTGCTTGGACAACAACAACAACAGCTGTAGCAATAACAAGAACAACAAATTCCCCGTCTATTGCCAACTACGCATTGAAGAAAACGGCGAGAGATAACGCTTGTGACTTCAGTGAAGCAGCAGTGAATGCCGTGGAAAAAGATTTCTACGTGGACGATTTATTGAAATCACTTCCCAACGTTAAAGATTCGAAGCAACTCGCCAGCGACTTAATGAAACTTTTCAGAAGCGGAGGATTCCGTTTAACTAAATGGATAAGTTCAAACAAGGAGGTCCTAGCTTCTATCCTGGAGTCAGAGCGAGCAAATCCAATTTTGAATTTAGACCTAGATAACTTACCGATATTACGAGCTCTCGGACTTCAGTGGAACGTTGAAGAAGACACATTTAAATTCAAGGTGATCGACGTAGATAAACCAGAGACGAAGAGAGGAATCTTGTCGACCACCGCTTCATTGTATAATCCAATGGGATTCGCCGCGCCTGTAACATTATTAGCTAAGTCACTACTACAGAAACTTTCGCAAAAGAAAGTTGATTGGGACGAGCAACTTGCTGAAGCCGAATTAGGAGACTGGAGACGGTGGAAGAATGATCTTTAAGCCTATTCGAATAAATTCAAGTTGTTACAAGACCACCGTAGCTGCTACCAACAAGGTTAATGATTGTGATATGACAAAGTGCGTCAAGGAAGTCCAACTTCACAACTTTTCTGACGCCAGTGAAATTGGATAAGGATCGGCATTGTATCTTCGAACTGAGTTTATCGATGGAAGAGTGACGTGTTCACTTGTATTTGGTAAATCTCGCACTGCACCATTTCGAAAGATATCCATACCACGCCTAGAATTACAAGCAGCGGTATTTTTGGTTCGAATCAGCGAGATAATACAGCGTGAAATTGAAATAACATTCAGCAAGATTTGCTACTGGACCGATTCAGAAGTACATTCAGAATGAAGATAGAAGATTTACCGTATACGTTGGTAATCGTATAGCCGAAATCAGAAAAAAATCCAAAGTGCAACAGTGGAGATATTTCCCAAGTAAAGAGAATCCGAGTGATGACGCCTCTCGTGGACTGAAACCTTCTGAGATGACATCCGAGTGTCGGTGGTTGGTTGGTCCGTCATTTTTAAAAGGTCCTGAGTCGAGCTGGGCACAGACAAATCTGCGGAAATATATAGAAGAGGAACATCCTGAAATTCTAATCCAATCCAATGTAGTGGTTGAAGTAAAAAGACCAGCTATATACGAACTATTAGAAAGATATTCATCATGGAACGTGCTCAAGGCAAAGATCGTGTGGCTAACCAGATTTGCGTTTCTCTTGAGTCATCGCCTTCATCGCTCTCACATATGTCCTCTCGGAAAACCCACCATTCCTGAGTTAGAAAATGCAGAGAACGACATCATATGAGAATGATCCAGCAGCAAGTGTTTTCAGAAGAATACAACGCCCTCAGCAAATCGGGGAAAGTAAAGATATCAAGCAGCATCGAGAAGCTCAATCCTTTTATTGGTGAGAACAATATTATTCGAGTGGGAAGCAGATTAGAATACGCTCATATAAGCTACAATGCGAAGTTTTCACCATCCTACCAAAACAACATTGGGTGTCGGAGCTGTTAGCAAGACACGTCCATTGTAGTAATGCCCATATTGGTCAAGAGCATACCTTGAATATATTACGCCAGAGAGTTTGGATCTGTAATGCCCGTTCCCTGGTTCGGAAGATTATCAACAAATGTTTTGTCTGTAGAAAGGGACACGCTCCAAAGCTCCAACAACAAATGGCACCTTTACCACCATGTCGGGTTATGACGTACGAACCACCATTCACTTACGTGGGAATTGACATGTTCGGATCTTTGTTAATAAGACAAGGTCGATCTACGCCTAAAAGATGGGGATGCATTTTTACGTGTATGACCACTCGTGCAATACACCTGGAAGTCTCACCGTCACTAGAAACTGACGATTTCATTAATGTTTTGCGACAATTCATCGCCCGACATGGAACCCCGAAAGAAATAGGAACGGACTGTGGCACGAACTTCCGTGGGGCTGATAAAGAGTTAAAAAGTGCAACGAAAGCTTGGAGTGAAGATCGTCTTGAAGATCAATTATCCCAGCGAGGAATTGACTGGATATTTCACCCACCGAATGCACCGCATTTCTCTGGTGTGTGGGAAAGGCTAATAAGGGAGACAAAACGTGCATTGAAAGCAATCTTAAATGGGGCCTTGGTAACAGAACATGTACTGCGAACAGTTTTCTGTGAGGTAGAGTCGATACTTAATTCACGTCCTCTAACGAGATCAAGCGAGGATGCAGCTGATGCTACCGCCATTACGCCTGCCCATTTTTTGGCAGCGGAGACCAGCAGTTGTTCCTATTGGAGATTTTAACGAAGACTCGATTATTGGTAGAAGAAAGTGGAAACAAGCTCAAATCCTTTCAAACCACTTCTGGACTAGATGGGTACAAGAATACCAGACTACTTTGCATTTACGTCAGAAATGGTTAAAGCCTCAACGCGATGTTCGTGTCGGAGATTTGGTCCTGGTACATGAAAAGAAGATACCAAGAGGATTGTGGCCTATTGCGATAGTAGTTTTTCCTGGACGAGACAAACGTATAAGAACTGTAGAGATTAAAACAAAGGATCCTGTCTTAACCCGACCAATTGTGAGTATTAGTCTCCTGGAACAATGTGATAATTAAGTGTTAATCATGTTTAAACGTGTGATACTAAACCATATATACTTATATAGTTATCATGAATTTGAATGAATGAGTATACTGTGTCGTGTCTTTAGATATTGATGTAGAGATGAGTCGCTTGAAAACTCCTCATCGCCGGGGAGTGTAGACACGCGATAGATATGTATGTATGTAAATGTATTGTTATTATGTAAATGAAGTGTGTGTTTTCTATATAAGGCCGTGTACACGTTGTAAAAAGTTAGTTGTTCGAAATATAGTAAAGTGTGAGTAAAAATCCAAGATATGGCGATTACAGAAGGCTACAATAAATTTGTTATCATTACATGTGAAAGGATTTCATATGAAATCACATGTGACATTTCACATGTGAAAAGATTTCACATGAAATTACAAGTGAAATGTCACATGTGAAAGGAGTTCACATGAAATTATAAATAACAAGTGAAATTTCACATGTGAAAGAATTTCACATGAAAGTTACAAATTACAAGTGACATTTCACATGTGAAAAGATTTCACATGAAATTACAAATTACAAGTGAAATTTCACATATGTGAAAAGATTTCACATGAAATTACAAGTGAAATTTCACATGTGAAAAGATAAGGATTTTACATGACATTACAAATTGCAAATGAAATTTCACATGTACGTGAAGGAATATTTCACATGAAATTTCGACTGAAATTTCACATATGAAAGGATTTCACATAATATTACAAATTACAATGAAATTTCACATGCGAAAG